GCTCATCATAGACTAGCTAGGCCTGACATTGTAATTATAAGGTAACTTATAAGGCAATGTAGAGACTAATTATTTTTTTTTTATCAGAACTTTAATATATTTTGATGTTCCTCTGTTCTGTTGTGACAAAAGAAACAAGTTTATTTTTAAAATGCTTTATTATATTATTTTAGTTAAAACTCATAAACAACTACAAATAACTATGTTAGGGAAATCTGCTAATGTTTTGTTGTGCGTTTCTGAGAAGAAAAAAAAATAAAAAATATATATATATATATATCGGCCGATATATCAGATTTTAAAACCAAAAAATATTTGTATCGGTATCAGCCTTCAAAATCCTTTATCAGTCGGGCTCTAGTCTGAACCTTTTTTTTCAGGTCACATTACACCTCAAAATCAAATAACTCAAATAATGGGGGGTGGTGATGGCGCAATGTATAAGACATATGCCTTTGGTGTGAAAAACCCAGGTTTGAATCCACTGTGAGACACCAATGTGTCAAACACTTAACCCCTAGTTGCTCCAGAGGCATGCGACCTCTGACATATATAGCAATTGTAAGTCGCTTTGGATAAAAGCGTCAGCTAAATGTAAATGTAAACTAATTAAAATAAAAATGTGGTGAAATATGATGCAGACAAGCTCTGGATAATTTTCATTAAATGCTCAAAGAAAAATTACATGTTATGCGTAACAGTGTTATTCTTATGTTATGCGTACAGATGTCGTAAGTGCCCACTCTTTGCATTTTATTCAAAATATTGATATCATTGTAGTGCTGAGGATGGTTTCTGCAAAGTGGTAGATTTGTTGCATCATATTTTCTCAAACCACCTACATTGCCTTTAGAGAAAAACATAACTCACTCCTTTTTAGACACAATGCAAAAGTAAATATTAACCCCGACCTTGTAAGATAACACAACTACAGTTGAAAGTGTAAAAAGCATGCTCTTATCAGAGAAACCAGGTCTATACATATGTACATAGGAGTTGCTGGATTGAAATTCACCATGTCTTTTATTTCCACAGATGAAGTTGCTAAATCTGTATATTAAGAGGGCCCAGACCATCAACAGCAACAGCAGCAGTTCTTCAGACGTGTCCTCTCACAGCTAACTGGATGGACTCTAATCAGTGCCCTACATGTGGATTTTGGAACATAGTTGTGCCTCGTCCAGACATCTTTTTTTTTATTGTTTCGTCACAATCTTGCTGGATTTTCCCAGAGAGATGTGTTGCTCACTGCAATCAGACTTTGCTTTTCATCAAGTCCTGGAAACCTCTTAGTTAGTCTCTATTGCATCTTCCCATCTGTGGAATGTTGAATGTAAAGGGGCTCGAATCGAGGAAAATGCATGCGGATCTTCCGTGATAGGCATTGCTTCCTTAATTTTAGCAAAATTCTGAAGAGATGATTCGTTAACTACATTTATTAGTAATAACTTATTGATGTTTGCAACTGGTGTTAAAGGTTTAGTTGAGTTGGGTATTTTAAATGGGCATAGTTGGGTTAACTTATACCCCACTTGAATCTCAGTTGATGCTAGTGGATCATTTGGCTGGCCGAGTGATAAATGTAAAGAAAAGAGATGTAATTTGTAGGTTTGGCTACAATGACAACCAAAAAAAAAACAAGAAAAGTAGGATTAAAACACTCTTATATTAATTTTTATTTCATGGGACTGCAATACCAAATCCCATTATGTTGAAAGTGAAAGCAATTGTGGTGGTTTTATTAAAGAATGGATTGTGTGTTAAAAATGCGGGCCTCACTACAGAACACAAGGACAAACTTCTGAATGTAGAGCTTTTCCTTTTATCTTTGAGGGGGGAGAAGGGTTCCGTAAGTAAACGTGAGACGTAACACACACAGTCATTTAAAGTTCACGAACACTCGAAGGAAGTTGAAAACGTGACCTGGAGCATCTTCAGTCAAGAAACGATGAATGAAACCGATTTACACTTTGTTCTTGGAGCAAGAGGATCGTGATGGAAATTTCAAAACTACTTTGCTTTGCGTTCCTTTTTCTGTTAAAAAAGAAACTCAAGACTGTTAAGATATGTGTCCACAGGCATTCTTACTACATTGCTGAAGCATGACACTGCAAAGTTCACTACGTCTAATGATAAACCCTCTCTGGCTCAAGAACCAGATGTTATGTTCTCTGAAAGGTCTGAACTCTTTCTTTTTCCTTGTTCATCTGGAGACCATCCATCTGATGTTAAGTGTTTTGTATATACCTTTCAATCATTGCTTCACACACTCCCCCACAAAATTAAGGTAAAGATGTTGCACTCTTTTGCACGTTAAGAAATAGCCTGCATGTTTCGATGAAATAACCATCCCGTGCTGCCGTGACTGACCTAAGTTTGGCTGTTTGTGAAAACTTGCCATGTCGGCAATCTGGTCAGTCTGTAAATACAGTATTATTATTGTTATTATTAATATGTTGCCCATGTGGGGGAAGTAGACAAGTGCAAAAACTCTTCACAGAGTTGACCAAAATGCCTGTCCTCAGACTGATCCCAGACCATGTTAGAAATTAAGGACAGATATTTAAAAAGCACCCTACTTTTAGTATTATATACTGAGGCTTGTGGCTTTGATTCAGAGTTTCTTTCTTATGGTTTTTAACCGATTCAGACCATGAACTATCATTTTTGGTTTAGACTGGGGTTATTCATAATTAATCTGTTTTTGAAAGGACAAAGCCAACTGTGAGGATCAACATTGCAAGTATTAAGTCGCCTCTTGGGTTTCCTGAAA